AAGCTGATTCATGTTTTTGATGCATCTTGAGATCTGCAAATGAAAAGCTCTAGAAAAAGACAATGTTACCCTCTATTATCTATATGATAATATATTATTATCATATATAGGAACAGCCTCTGAAATTAAATCACTGGTAAAACATCAATGCTTCATCTCCTCTTTATTTTCCTCCATCCTTTAATTCTATTTCTTTGATGAACTCTTACATTTCAGGAGCCTGGGCTTTAATGCTCCTTTTGGAGCTGCACAAGGTGTGGTAGGAACGAGCTGCTCCCAGAGGAAGTCTGAGTAAAAAATATAGCTGGAGGCAATGAATGATCCACAGAATCCCAGGCTGGTTTGGGTTTGAAGGGACCTTAAATCCCACCTGCCACGGGCAGGAACCTTCCCTTGGGCCAGGCTGCTCCGCCCAGCCTGGCCTTGCTGCATCTTTCCCCTTCCCATTTCCCCCAAAGCTGCACAATGGACAATTTCTGAGAGCTGTACTGAGCTCTTTTGTGGCAGTCCCAGAGGAGAAAGAGGTTAGAGGAGCAGCTTGTACAACAGGCAGTGCAAAGCAGCAGCAAAGAGCTTTTTATTGCTGCCAATTCCTTGAAGAAATGAAAAAAAATTCAAGTTTTCCCCAGCCCAGCCCTTCTTCCAAGAAGTGCCAGTGGTGGAGAATCGTTGCTGACTCATTCAGTGCCCGGGAGGGCTCCTTTAAAAAGAAAATTGCTGCAGCATTCTCTGTGTGCATCAAAGATTATTGCTGCTCTCCAGAGGAACGGGAAGATCCATTACCAGATGAGAAAGGATTCAGCAGCAGCTCATGGCAGCTGCAGCCGAATCTTTATTTTAGAGCAATGGTTCCTTTTGCCTGGGACTGGGAGGTGGGGGAGGTACCGAGAGAGGAAAAAAGAGAAAAGTCAGTTTGTGGGAGAAGCGTGTGCTGTCTCCATCATTGGCACTGCAGGAAAGGCTCGGGCAGAGGAGCTGCGGGAGTGACTCAGCATCTTCCTCCTCCTCTTCAGCATCCTCCTCCTCTTCAGCATCCTCCTCCTCTTCAGCATCCTCCTCCTCTTCAGCATCTTCCTCCTCCTTTCAGCATCCTCCTCCTCCTCTTCAGCATCTTCCTCCTCCTCTTCAGCATCTTCCTCCTCCTTTCAGCATCCTCCTCCTCCTCTTCAGCATCTTCCTCCTCCTTTCAGCATCCTCCTCCTCCTCTTCAGCATCTTCCTCCTCCTCTTCAGCATCCTCCTCCTCCTTTCAGCATCCTCCTCCTCCTCTTCAGCATCTTCCTCCTCCTCTTCAGCATCTTCCTCCTCCTTTCAGCATCCTCCTCCTCCTCTTCAGCATCCTCCTCCTCCTCTTCAGCATCTTCCTCCTTCTCCTTCAGCATCCTCCTCCTCTTCAGCATCCTCCTCCTCTTCTTCAGCATCTTCCTCCTCCTCCTTTCAGCATCCTCCTCCTCTTCTTCAGCATCCTCCTTCTCCTCTTCAGCATCATCTTCCTCCTCCTCAGCTTCCTCCTCCTGCAGCAAAACGGGGCTGGGGCACCTCCCACCCTTCTCCCCTGCAATCCCTGCAGGACAGACCCCGACCACCCCAGACCCCCTCCCCTGGCAGCTGCTCCACCCCTGCCCCAAAATCTCCCTGCCAAAACCGGCGCCCTCCAAAGCCACCCCTGTCACCCCGGCCTTGGCTGGTCTTGAAATTGAGGGTAAACTGGATCTTAATGGTTTCTCAAATGGTAAAATGTTTCCTTTTGCATCTATTTCACCATTTTAAGCATTTAACTATTATTTACGATGTGATTATAATGGAAAAAAAAAAAAAAACATATAAACTACCCCTACCACCCTAAACTCTGAGCCCCTTCCCAGGGTCTGGCTCCAGGAGGAGAACCAGCAGATCCAGGATATTCCCATTTTCCTGCAGGGACAGCACCAGCAGATCCGGGATGTTCCCAGCTCCCTCTGCAATCCAGGGAGACCACCACCCTCCCCGGGATCTGCAGGGATTGCTGTTCACTCCCACTCTGCCATTTCACCTCCCACCCACCAAAAGCAGCTGATCCTTCTTGCCCTGAACTCCTCCAAATTCTCACAGAATTGTAATTGGTTTAATAATTGTCATGGGAGTTAAAAAAAGGGGAAATGGGAGAAACTCCCAGAGCCACAGAGCTGAGGCTGCTCTCCTGCAGCAGCAGCACGGGAAGGTGGGACAAGCACCTGGGTTTGTTTTGTCAGGGGCGTGAGGGCAGGTGGGGAACCCAATCCCACAGTGGGGAACCCAATCCCACAGTGGGGAGCTCAATCCCACAGTGGGGAACCCAATCCCACAGTGAGGAACCAAATCCCATTGTTGAGAACCCAATCCCACAGTGAGGAACCCAATCCCACAGTGAGGAACCCAATCCCATTGTTGAGAACCCAATCCCACAATGAGGAACCCAATCCCACAGTGAGGAACCCAATCCCACAGTGAGGAACCCAATCCCACAATGAGGAACCCAATCCCACAGTGAGGAACCCAATCCCATTGTTGAGAACCCAATCCCATTGTTGAGAACCCAATCCCACAGTGGGGAGCCCAATCCCACAGGGGGGAACCCAATCTCATGGTTGAGAACCCAATCCCACAGAGGGGAACCCAATCCCACAGTGGGGAACCCAATCCCACAGTGGGGAATTCAATCCCACAGTGGGGAGCTCAATCCCACAGTGAGGAACCCAATCCCACAATGAGGAGCCCAATCCCACAGTGAGGAACCCAATCCCATTGTTAAGAACCCAATCCCATTTTTGAGAACCCAATCCCACAGTGGAGAACCCAATCCCATTGTTGACAACCCAATCCCACATTGGGAATGGGGCTCTTCCCCCTCTGGCTGCAGGCCTGGGCCCGGTGCCCAGCCTGGACGTGCTGTGGGGCAGCACTTGGTGCCCACAGGCTCTGCCCTGTGCCAGGGCTTGGGGACGGTGGCAGAAGAGAGAAGAGCCCCAAGGCTGCTACAAACCTGGGGGTCTTCTATCTGTTCCCATCCTACCTCTCTATTCCTTATTTGACACCTTCCTGCTGACTGTTGTTGATTTGGGGTGTAAATGGACCTTTCCCCGCCCATCCAATTTTATCTGGCCTCATTAAAGAGGTAATTTTGGGGTTTTTTTTACCTTTCCTGGGACAAAACTGTTCTGCTCCCATGGACATCCTAATCCTCTACTGCAGCATTTTTGGCTCATTGGGGTGAGTTTTATGTGGCATAAAACACAGAGTGCAGCTCTCAGGGTGATGCCTGGAGGTGCTAAAAGCCTGTTTAACCCTCAGGAAGTTGGGGCACAGCAGGAATTGCTGATGGAAAATTGAAAGGGGCTCCTTGCAGCAGTTCTGCTGCTGGCCAAAGGTGGCCTGGAGCAGCAGAGCTCCTCCTTTCTGCGGGACTCTCCTCCTCTCTCCTCCCAGGCTGGTGCAGTGTTGAACTTTTGCCAGGAGCTGGACCTGCTGCAGAAGCAGCAGCAGCTTTGCAGAGGGAGGAGGCAGGTGGAGGAAATGCTGCTCTGCCTGCCAGCAGGGCTCACACTACCCCTCCTCCTCTTCCTCAGAGCATTCCCAAATCCCTGGTCCCACCACTGCATCTGCACAAAGCAGAGGGCACTGCCAAGGGCTCCTGCAAGAGAGCTGATATTTCCCTCCTGCTCAGCCCCTAAATTATCAGGCTAGCCCAGAGATCCGAGGCTGTGAGGGGAGGAATATCAGGAGATGGCAAAGATTTCCAAAAGAGGCTCTTACCCCGATGTCTGTTGGTCCAGCTCTCTTTATTCTGTGGTGTCCAAGGGAAGAACGGGGCAAAAGAGAACGAACAGGAAATGCCAGGGGTTTATCCAGGCTTTGGACAGGGAGGGCTTTCCTGGCTCTCCCAACCCTGCAGGGCAGGAAGGAGAGTCCAGGGTTATCTGATCAGAGTCTCAGGGTCCCGGGGAATGGGGAAAAAGCACGTCCTGAGCTCAATGTAACACTGGAAAAGGCCAAATCCCTCTCTCCCACATCCCATCCCTCCCTAAGGATGTGGAGATGCTCTGGATTTGCCCTGGGGCTGCCTCTGATGCTCTCCTGCCAGCCTGGATCTCCTGCAGGAGGTTTGCCCCTCCAGAAGTCCAGCAGAAGGAGTTTCTGCTCTCTCTGCCCTCCCTTATTCCCCTGCCTGGGGGAGAATTCCCAGAAGGAGCTCCAAATTCCCGACGTTTTTCCACTGGGACCTGCAAATCCAGGATGTTGGAAAGGATGGATAAATATAATTGCCTGGCAAAAGATTCACAATAGCACAGCCAGGATGAAAACAATCCCAGCTACTGGCTGGACAATGCCCTTACCTACAGAGGGGTTCAAAAGTCAAATGGACTGTTGGATCTCACCCCAATGTGTGGTTCATCCCACACCTGTAACCCTCCACTGAAGCATCAGGTGTCTGTGACCCCATTGGCCTGAGTCTTGTTCCAGCCCACCTTGAACCCCCTGATAAGGGATCCCTGAGGAGCCAGACGCCCTCTTGGATCTTCCCCTCTCTTAGAATTTCCACCCTCTCCTAGAGCATCCTCTCTACCCCTTGTCTCTCCCCTCTTCCATCCCCTCAGGCCTTGCCCCGTGCTGCTTCTGGCAGCTCCAAGCAAGACCTTTCACCATCCCTAATAAACCTGATATTCTAAGAGCAGCCTTCAGAGATCTCTCTAAACATTCGGGTGTTCCCAAAATTAAAGGTGATTTTAGGGACAGGAGCAGCCCAGGTTGTGCCACTTGTGTGCTTGGATACATGGGAAGGAGCCCTGCCACACTCCCAAATCCATAAATCAGCAGGAGCAGCAGGTGCTGTCCAGAAAAAAACAGGCTCTGAACTCCTTTTGGCATCAATTAAGTCTAGAGGAAACACCCTGGGAATGGGATTGGACAGAGGGAAAGATTGTGGGAAGAATAATGAATTTATATTTAACAAACCAGAAAAATATGATTATGATGATCCAGCCATTTGAAAAGAATTGGTAAAGATTTATTCATGTGAATGCGATTAAAGGATCCAAATAAAATGTCTGAAACAGAAGTTTTAATACTCAAGTTTTTACCATTTAAGGTTTTATTGAGGGTTATAGAAAGGACTAAGAGATAGAGATATTAAAGCGGGGAAAAAAAAGGAAAACCCAACTGCAGTTTAAATGGAAGTGAAGTATTTGTCAAAAAAAATGCACAGAGAAAAATATACAAAAATACTTCCCCTCAAAAAAATTGTAAAAATTAAGACCAGCAACTCCTTATCCCCACTTATCAGTAGTGCCAATAAAAACCCTGATTCTCCCAGTAACCTCTGCTGGGAGAACCTCTCATCCAGGCTGGGTAATTTATAATTCAATCTCTGCCTCAGAGTGGTGCAAAGTCCTTTTCTCTCCAGGAGGAGAAGTGCCAGGGATGAAACAGCTGAAATGGAGAGGAGTATTTGCAGACCTCTGCAAACCTTTCAATTAAGTGATGATATTAAAATAAACCAGAGTGATGGAGGTGATTCCTCTTCCATCCCACAGAAATCCCATCCCTAAGGACAGCACCAGGAGCGAGCAGCCTGCAGGAGGGCTGGGCTGGAGGTGAGCTGCAGAATTCAGGGATTTTTATTCACAGACTGCAGAGCTGAGCACATTCAGCTGCCTTGAGGCTCCTCACTGCAGCAGAGCTCTCCCAGCTTTATTTCTCCCTGCAATCTGTGTTTTATGGGCAGCAGCTCGTGCCAGACTGGGGAATAAAGAGATTTTTACATCTTCCCAATAATTGTTTTTCACTTGTGCGTGTGGGGGTATTATTCACTCACTCCAGGGCGCCTTTGTGAACACCCTACGTGGATTTTATTGCTGCCTCTGCAGCAAGGGGAAAAAATATCTCAAAGATTGAAATAACTGAATTATGGGGAAAGTATTCCTGAGCTGCTCATCCCCTTTCTGTGACCAAAGAACATCCTGGAATTCACTGCTTCACCTCCCTGCAGATAAAACCACAGCTCTAAAATCTCTCTGCTTTTTAATTGTCCATGCAGCCCACAAATAAACGCTCTTTTGGACCTATGTTTTATCTTTATTTTCATTCATACTGGAAATTTTTGGGAAGGAAATGGAGTGCATGGCTGTATTATGAGCCTTCATGTGCTATGTTGTAAATGCAGTTTTCTCTCTTCAACCTGTCACCAACAGGATTTACTTAAGCTGGCACAGCAAAAACGGGAAAATAGGGAAATATTCCACTGCTTCAGTCTGGATATTGCTGCTGCTATGAGCATCCAAGTCCCAAAACGTGAGGGATATTAAATTTCTCCTGTTGAACCAGCTGCACTTGCTCAAGCACATGTTCCTTCAGCGCCCAGCCCTCAACCACCACCACAAAAAGAGAATTGTTGTTAAAGACCATTTATACCTTTGCAGCAGGGATGGAGCTGGTTCCCAGAACAGCTTTTTAGGGCACAACAAAGCTCAGCTCAACTGAGATCAGCCAGCGGCCTTAAGTGGGGGCTAAAGTCAGAGCAGGCTTAAAACCAGCTCCTGCTGTGGCCTTGGGTCCAACCCTTGCTCCTCACACGGGCAGAAAAGCAATTAAAGCAACGAGGCTGCAAATTAATAAATTGTCTCCTTCCAAATGGGCTGGGAGGGGTTTTTTTTTCAGGAGTTTTATTTGTCTGGAGAAGCTGCCCCATCCCTGGAAGTGCCCAAGGCCAGGCTGGAGCAGCTCAGGGCCTGGCCCATGGCAGGACATGGAATAAAATTGGTTTTTAAGGTTCCTTGCACCCAAACCACTCCAGAATCTGACCAAAACCTCTCTCAGCTGATGTTTAAATGCTGGAACCAAAAGCAGAACAGCAATTTAATTGATTGTGTGAGATAAGAACCAGCCCTGGGATCTGCAATCAGATGTTGTGGTCTAGTTTGGAGGCCTGATCCAACAAGTAAACAAAGCTAATTAATGAATCCTCTAATTAAGCGTTCCCTGATAGAGCTCAGATGAAAGAATTGGCTGCTTGCTTCCTCCAGCTCCTGTAATCAAGAGACAGAACAAACTCAAAGTGAGCAATTTGTGCAGAAATTGGTGTAAATAATAATAAAATAATGCAAGCTGCCCAGGCACTTGCTATATCTGGCACCAACAAAGCAAATAGTGGTTCAAAGGAGATAAATTAAACACTTATTTGCATTTTTTTCTGAGCCTCCCAGAGACTGTAGTTCAGTCCTTGCAGACAAAATTCTGCTTTGGTTTGGAAATTCCTGTGAGTGTCGCCTCATATTAAAAGGACTACTTGGAATACAGGAAGAAGAATTCCTAAAATGTGAGGTTTTGTTTCAATTCATCAAAACAGATCAGAGCATTTTCTTTTGCCTGTTCTAATTCAACTCATCCAGACACTTTGATATAATTTTAGATAAATACATAAGACCTGACATCAGAGCTATTGAACATTTTTAGCTGTGGGAGTGTCTGATTCCCCACTCCCTCAGAGCTGGGCTTTTATGAGGTAGAAATATATATTTTTTTTAAAGGAAACCCAATGTTTTTGCTTTTGTTTTTTACTCAGGACCGCTTGATTTCTGTGTAAATCCCAACTAAGCAGGCACAGCTCCTTCGGTGCTTCTGCAATAAAAGCAGCAGCAGACAATGAAGACTCCACCTGAAATGTCCCTGTTGCAGTTTCTAACAGGAAATTCTTTGCTTAAAAAGGGATAAAAAGGCAAATCCCACAGAGTTCACTGGGGGCATTCAGGTAATTTCCTGGTGCTCAGCACAGGGCTCAGGTCTGAGCTTTTCCTTGAGGAAAAGCCAGTTGCAGATGGGGAAAAGGAATGAACAGAAATATTGCTGCTTTTCCTCGAGCAGCAGTGGGATTTGAAATCATGGAATGGTTTGGGTTGGGAGGGACCTCAAAATTCATCCAGTGCCACCCCTGCCATGGGCAGGGACAACTCCCAAGGGACAGGGACTGTCCCAGGCTGCTCCAGCCTGGCCTTGGATACTTCCAGGGATGGGGCACAGCTGCTTTTTCATTTCTGCATCATCCCTCAGAATAATTTGCATTATTTGGGACACCTAAGGAATGTTTTCAAGAGGTGACCCTGGGTTTGGGATCCTCTGCCTGAAGGGTTGATGCCCTGGGGAGACTCACAGGTGGTAAGGGAGCAGCTTCATCTCCAGAGGCACAGGGGGACAGTGCTGAGCTGCTGCTCAGATTGGCTCCCAGAACAGCTTTTTAGGGCACAACAAAGCTCAGCTCAACTGAGATCCTCCGGTGGCCTTAAGTGGGGGCTAAAGTCAGGGCAGGCTTAAACCCAGCTCCTGCTGTGGCTCTGGTGTCTCAGATGAGACAAGGCACAGGCCACTCCATCTTGGCCTGCTTTATCCCCTTCCTCTGCTCACAATATTGATTTTTCTAACACACATCCAGGGGTTTGGTCATGCTCTGCATTAAGGCAGAAAGCAACAAAAGGGATGCAAAGGGAGTGATGGAATCTGGCAGCACTCCCCTGTGCCTGGAAATGCAAGTCTGGGGAGCAGGATGCCTTCAGGAGTGGATTTCTGTTCCTTGGGGTACCAAAGCTCCATCCTCACCCTGAGTCCCACGGAGGTTCCACACTGCAGGGTGTCCCCATCTTCCTCCCCATGCTCCTGGCACACAGCAAAGGATTTTCCACCCAAAAAAAAAAAAAAAAAAAAAAAAAAAAAAAAAGTGAGAAGGAATATCAACAGCCTACAATGACACAATTACAAGGCTTGCTTTGCTGGGATCTGAAGCACAGTGGTTTTTACAAGCTGAGGTACATTCCTTTATTAATATATGGCAGAAGAAATGATAGCATTAATAATTAAATCTTGTGCTCAGGTTGCTGTAGGGCACATTAGCATAAACCCATTGGCATGAAACAAGGTATTTCAGTTTGCAGGAGCTGAGTATTCCAGAAAATATCTGTTCCCTGAGTTCCTGACCAACAAGCTGGGAATCCTCCTCTCTGCAGTGTCTCTATTCCTCATTTCTTCCCCTTTCAAGCCCAATCTCTGCTAAAGATAAAATAGATTAGCACAGAAGACTCTACCTATGCTACTCTCCTTTGCATATTCTGAATAATGAATGGCTGCTCTGACATGCATGAATGCAGCCACAGCTAGAATTTAAAAAACAAATGGTGAATAAAAATCGAGGCAGAGAGAAGCCAGGCTGGCAGGGCTGGCTGCTGAGAGCAGCTGCACTCATCTTCAGGAGGACTCTGCAGATTTGCAGAATAAAGTCTCCCACCAGCTCTGCTGGGATAGAAGTGGCACTTAAGCCTTGATGAGCTCTTGGTACAGTTCATTCCATCCAGAATGAGCTCTGATGAGCAGGGACTGCAGCTCTGCACCTCTGAGAGGCCATTGCCCTTCACAGATCAATGATCCTTGTGTTTAAATACCCTGAAACTTATGGAGAAGCTGTCACACAACAGGTGACGTTCTGTGTGAGGTCACTGGAAATACATTAAATCCACCCTGCTCTACCTTTCCTAAGGGCTGGTATTAAATAAACATTTCTTTGTGCCAGAAATACCCAATTACCACTGCAATTAACTGACTGGCACATTAATCCATACACATTACTAAGTCCTTCCCTTTTCTTTGGGAAGCACCTCAGCATTTTTGTGGTATCTAATAAATGTCCCCCAATCTTTACTGACTTCTATTCCTTCCTTGAGAAAACCTTGAAGAGGCTGTTTTGTGATATATTTGCCCTTCTGACTCCAAGAGCTGAATTCTCATTGTCTTTTTGAGCCTCCCATGCAGTCTGTGCTCAATACATCTCTAATTTACCTCTGCTCAATCTTTACTACATAAATACTGCTTTGTTTTAATCAAGCAGTGCTAATAGCCTGGCCCAGAGGTAGCTGCAATGCAGCTGTCCAATTTAATCTCTGTATTAGGCAGATTAGACAAGGATAAATATCCTGTCCCTGTGATCCATGTCTCAGACAGCCTCGGCTCCAGGGAATCTCCAGGAACCAGGTATCAGCGTGCTCTGCCAGGACTGACAACTGCCCTGTTTCTGCTGCTGCTTGCGTGCAATGAAAGGACAAATAACTCTGCCAGCTTTCCCCTGAAGTGCCCAAGGCCAGCTTGGATGGGGCGTGGAGCAACCTGGGACAGTGGGAGGTGTCCCTGCCCATGGCAGGGGGGGACTGGATGGGCTTTAAGGTGCCTCCCACCCCAAACAACTCCACGATTCCATGATGCTCTAATTACCTGGTTATTAGGGACCGCTTGTAACAATGGACCTGGGAGGATGCAGGGGCTCAAAGAGCACTCATGCTTGTGCTAACTGCAAACTGAAGGGAAAAAAAAAATATATTATTTACACATCTGGAGGTTCTGAGTTGCAGCCAGGGTTGGGTGTCCCTCAGCCTCACCGAGGCAACCTCAGGCACAATGAATGTGCTGGAGCTTGCAGCACATCCCCGAAGCTTCTGCCAGGGCAGCTGTGGAGAGGCAGAGCAGGGGTGTTAAACACAGCCTTGGGGGGCTGCGGGGTGCAGATAGACCTGAGGGGAGCTGGATCTGCAAGGGCCAGAGGTGGCCCCGAAGGGGGGCCGGGAGATGCCCGGGAGGGCCGAGGCTGTGCCCAAGGAGGGCTGAGACAGGGCTGAGAGGATGAGGTGGGACCGAGCCCAGGCTGCTCCGGAGTAGGCCAGTCACAGCTCCCCACGCCCGCGGGGATGCCTGGAGCTGCCCGGGCATCCATCCCTTCCCTGCCGTGATGCCCGGAGCTGTCCATCCCTTCCCTGCCGTGATTCCCGGAGCTGCCCAGGCATCCATCCCTTCCCTGCCTGATGCCCGGAGCTGTCCATCCCTCCTTCCCTGCCGTGATTCCCGGAGCTGCTCAGGCATCCATCCCTTCCCTGCCGTGATGGCCAGAGCTGCCCAGGCATCCATCCCTTCCCTGCCGTGATGCCCGGAGCTGTCCATCCCTTCCCTGCCGTGATTCCCGGACTGCCCAGGCATCCATTCCCTGCCGTGATGCCCGGAGCTGTCCAGGCATCCATCCCTTCCCTGCCGCGATGCCCGGAGCTGTCCAGGCATCCATCCCTTCCCTGCCCGGAGCTGTCCATCCCTTCCCTGCCGTGATGCCCGGAGCTGCCTGGGCATCACAGGGGCGAGGTCCGGCCCGTGCCGCTGAGGCCATCCCATCACAGCAGAGAGGGAATGAATGCCGGGATCACTCCGGGCATCCCCTCCCGCCAGCGGTGCCCGGACCACTCCGGCCGTCCCTCCCCGCCGCGGTGTCGCCGCGCCCCGCCCCGTCCCCGCCCGGCGGCCGCCCCGTCCCCGCCCTCCCCGCACATAAATACCGGGGTGCGGGCGGTGCCCGCCGCAGAGCCGTGTCCGGAGCCCCCCGCAGCCATGAGCTCGTACGGCTACGACCCGTTCTTCCCGTCCTACAAGCGGCGCTACGCGGACAGCCCGCGCATCCATGTGTCGGTGCGCAGCGGCGGCGGCGGCTTCGGCTCGGCGCGCTCCGCGTACTCCAGCCTGTCCGCGCCCGTGTCCTCCGTGTCCGTGCGCCGCAGCTACGCCGCCTCCAGCGCCTCGGGCTCGCTGCTGCACTCGGTGGACAGCCTGGACCTGAGCCAGGTGGCCGCCATCAGCAACGACCTCAAATCCATCCGCAGCCAGGAGCGAGCGCAGCTGCAGGACCTCAACGACCGCTTCGCCTGTTTCATCGAGCGCGTCCACGAGCTGGAGCAGCAGAACAAGGTGCTGGAGGCCGAGCTGCTGGTGCTGCGGCAGAAGCACGCCGAGCCCTCCCGCTTCCGCGCCCTCTACGAGCAGGAGATCCGCGAGCTGCGCTTGGCCGCGGAGGAGGCGACGAGCGAGAAGCAGGCGCTGCAGGGCGAGAGGGAGAGCCTGGAGGAGACGCTGCGAGGGCTGCAGGCGCGCTACGAGGAGGAGGTGCTGAGCCGCGAGGATGCGGAGGCGCGGCTGCTGGAGGTGCGCAAGGGCGCGGACGAGGCGGCGCTGGCGCGGGCGGAGCTGGAGAAGCGGGTGGACAGCCTGCTGGACGAGCTGGCCTTCCTCAAGAAGGTGCACGAGGAGGAGCTGGCCGAGCTGCAGGCGCAGATCCAGTACGCGCATCTGTCCGTGGAGATGGACGTGTCGGCCAAGCCCGACCTGTCGGCCGCGCTGCGCGACATCCGCGCGCAGTACGAGAAGCTGGCGGCGCGCAACATGCAGAACGCCGAGGAGTGGTTCCGCAGCCGCTTCACCGTGCTCAGCGAGAGCGCCGCCAAGAACACGGACGCCGTGCGAGCCGCCAAGGACGAGGTGTCCGAGAGCCGCCGCCTGCTCAAAGCCAAGACGCTGGAGATCGAGGCCACCCGCGGCATGAACGAGGCGCTGGAGAAGCAGCTGCAGGAGCTGGAAGAGAAGCAGAGCGCGGATATCTCCGCGCTGCAGGTGAGGGGTGTGGGCTGGAGTGGTCGCTCGGGGGATGAGGGTCGGAGTCCATCAGGGGAGGGGATGGTGGGGTGTGCAGGGCTCGGCAGGTCAGGAGAAGTTGGGGTTTGAAAGGCTCTGAAGATGTGAGGGTGATGGGGTTTGAAGGGCTCTGCAAGTGAGGGGATGATGGGGTTTGAAAGGTTCTGAAGATGTGAGGGTGATGGGGTTTGCAGGGCTCTGCAGGTGAGAGGACGATGGGGTTTGAAAGGCTCTGAAGATGTGAGGGTGATGGGGTTTGCAGGGCTCTGCAAGTGAGGGGACAATGGGGTTTGAAAGGCTCTGCAGGTGAGGGGACGATGGGGTTTGCAGGGCTCTGCAAGTGAGGGGACAATGGGGTTTGAAAGGCTCTGCAGGTCAGGAGAAGTTGGGGTTTGAAGGGTTCTGAAGATGCAAGGGTGATGGGGTTTGGAGGGTTCTGCAGGCGAGGGGATGATGGGGTTTGAAAGGTTCTGAAGATGTGAGGGTGATGGGGTTTGGAGGGCTCTGCAGGTTAGGGGACGATGGGGTTTGAAAGGCTCTGCAGGCCAGGAGAAGTCAGGGTTTGAAGGGTTCTGAAGATGCAAGGATAATGGGGTGTGTAGGGCTCTGCAGGTGAGGGGGTGATGGGGTTTGCAGGGCTCTGCATGGGACAGGGGTCAGGTTTTACAGGATTCTGCAGGTGAGGGGTTTCAAGGTTTTCTGGGCTCTGCAGATGAAGGGATGGACATTGGGGTGTGAAGGATTCTGGAGGTGAAGGGGTGGATGTTGGGGTTTGAAGAATTCTGCAGGTGAGGAGGGTCAGGGTTTGCTGGGCTCTGCAGGTGAAGGGGCGAATGTTGGGGTTTGGAGGGATCTGCAGGTGAAGAGATGTCGGGGTTTGAAGGGTTTTGCAGGTGAGGGGGTTCAGGGTTTGCTGGTGAGGGGAGTTGTGGCTGCAGAGCCGCACAGATGAGGGGATCAGGTTTGGGGGGGTTGTCGGGGGCATCTCTGCAGATAAGGCATCCTGAAATCACAGTGCAGAATGCCACAGAGCTATAAAGGAGGATGTGGTGTTGAAATGCAAACCCAAATCGGGATCTGAATTACCAAAATTATCCCAGACATTGGTTCTGGTACTGCTTATCTAAAGTGTGAGGTGTTATAAAATCAGAATGCAAAATGTCCCTGATAAAGCCCAATATCCATGTGTCCATGTATTGATGCAGCCAGAACTATACCAAAAAAATCATGGAATCCCAGAATATCCCGAGTTGGAAGGGACCTGCAAGAATTAACAATGGATATCCCTTAAGCTAAAATTTAAAAAAAAGTACATAAAGGTCCAAATCAAAATGAAACAAAACACAGATTTCACTATGATTTAGCACTTTGGTACCAGAAAATTTGGCTCTTTGTGTTTAATAGGACTGGAATAATGTGGAGTAGAAAACCTGCCAGGAAGGTGTTAAATGATGCTCTTTGGCTGAGAGTGGGAGCTGTGCAGTTTCTGTCTGCTAGAGCAAGATTAAATTAAAAGGATTGGAGAAATTCCCTGTGATTATTGCTAGACTTGAGAGACCAGAATTTTATGCTGTCAATGTTGTTCCATCCAACAGGATACAATCAACAAATTGGAGAATGAGCTGAGAACCACAAAGAGTGAGATGGCTCGGTACCTGAAGGAATATCAGGACCTGCTCAATGTGAAAATGGCCCTGGACATCGAAATTGCAGCTTATAGGTATGGCAGGGGATGTTTTAATGAGCCAGAACTCAGAGCAGTTCCCATTCTCTTCAGGAGAATTCAGGTTATTTATCATTGCCCCAGCAGAAATTTTCATAGGTCCGTGGCAGTTTAATCAGTTCCTCTCTGTGTGCACACAGAGTTTTTAGCTTGACAATGAATGATCTCCATTCTCCATCCTTAGAGATAAAAGTACCTGTTCTGTACTTGGGGGAGAGGTTTTGTATAAATGGAATTCCTCAATACCTGAGATTTTGGCTCATTCTCAAAATGGGAAATCCCTCAAATGTCCTCAAGAACAGTTTTGGTTTTTTTTTCCTAACTTGTAAATCTACAAATTAAATACTTTCCAGTAGAATTGCTGCTAAATAACTGTGATATTTTGTCTCGGATACTGAGAGATTTCAATCCTGGAACAGCATTTCTGTGGAAGCCACAAGGGGGAATACTGAGGGAGCAGCTCCAAGCCTTGTCTGGCAGCTCAGCAGCAAATTAGTCTGTGCGAGCTGCAGGGTGGCAAAATACACCTCTAGTTTCCCTTGCCAGAGGGACCTGCTTCTAGAGAGGTTTTCCTGTTCCTTCCCACAAGGAAAGGTATTAATTTGCCCACAACGGGCACGTCTGAAGAAATGATTCCAAGAAAATAGAGTAGCATTGGCACATGAAGCAAAACTGGCCCATGGAGCAAAACTAGCCCTTCATGAATAACCACATGTGCAGCCTGAAGGGCTTTTTGGAGATAGTTTTTTCTCCAAGTTTCACCTACTCCTCTCCTCACTGATCCCACAGACACTGAACAACCTCCTGCCACAATTTAACGGCCACATTTGCTTTTTCCCTGTGTATTGATTTGATAAAATTCCCATTTTTCAGAAGGGAGCTCCTGCTTGTTGCCCCCTCAGCCAGTGAGACCCATCTCAGACACCACCACACGATGCCAAGTCCTGCTCGCAGCACAACCAGCTCATTTCTCCTGCCTTTTATTTCTCCTGCCAGGAAACTGCTGGAAGGGGAAGAGACCCGGCTGAGCTTCACCAGCGTGGGCAGCATCACCAGTGGGTACAGCCAGAGTGGCCCCACCTTTGGCAGGTCGGCCTTCAGTGGCCTCCAGGCCAGCTCCTACCTGCTGACCACCCGCTCCTTCCCCACCTACTACTCCAGCCACGTCCAGGAGGAGCAGATTGAAATCGAGGAAACCATCGAGGCTGCTAAAGCAGGAGAAGCCAAGGCAGCTCCTGCAGAAGAGGGTGAGGAGGAGGAGAAGGAGGAAGGAGAGGAAGAAGCAGGAGAAGAGGCTGAAGAAGAGGAGGAAGGTACTTCGAGTTACTTGTAAATCCCTTTTATTCATGCTGCACCCTGCTCCTATGGTATCCTATAAACCCTATTTTTTATCCTATAAACCCCAGAAATCCCAATGATAAAATCTAATGATTAAATCTCTTTCCCTTTTTACTCCTATGAGATAAACCCCAGGAATCCCAATGATAAAATCTAATGATTAAATCTCTTTCCCTTTCTACTCCTATGAGCCAAAGGATGGTGGGGTTAAACACGTGGAATTCACCAGGAAAGTCTGAATATTGAATGGAAGATAAGGTTGAGTGTTCAAATCAGGCAGATTATATGTTTCCAAAACCCCAGAAATTCCAATGATAAAATCTAATGATTAAATCTCTTTCCCTTTCTACTCCTATGAGCCAAAGGATGGTGGGCTTAAACACATGGAATTCACCAGGAAAGTCTGAATATTGAATGGAAGATAAGGTTGAGTGTTCAAATCAGGCAATCAGGCAGATTATATGTTTCCAAAACCCCCAATGATAATGTTCAGGTGTTCCAGGCATCCTCAAAAAGAAGGACCAAGGCCATCCTGAGCTAAATATGAATTCCCAGAGAGCAGCCTGAGATAATGGGAGCATCAGCTGATGTGTGAGGCTGGAATTATGAATTCATGCATGGCAACATCACTCCTCTGCCAGGCATCGATGGCCATTGAATTGTGAGGGGTTTGTTACTGTAAAGTTTAATTAGCTGTAATTTCACTGTAATTAAAGAGCCAATTGGAGAGCACTGAAAGATAATTCAAGTCTTTGGATAAGGCTTTAAGCACTGA